TATTGCGGAATCAATGAACAAAGCACTGTCAAAGGCCAGAAGCCTTCCCATAGTTCGACTGTTAGAATCGATACGGACTATGATGACCAGATGGTTTGCTGAACGGAGAGAGGACGCGAATTCGCAGCAAACAACGCTCTCACGAGGTGTTGAAAAACTGTTACAGGTAACTCAGCTGTAACTGCTTACATAAGTCAGTCGTCAAACGTTCTTAAACCAGACATTATTTCCATAAATCAGACTTAACGTATTTTGTTTTTTTTTCCGCTCTAATAGGCCCGTGTCACCGCGGCAAGACTTATGGGTGTACAAACGATTGATGCTTTACGCGTGCAGGTAACTTATGGAACACAGTTGCATATTGTAAATGTGGATGCTAAAAAATGCAAATGCCATCGTTTCGACCACGAGAAATTACCATGCATACATGCAATCGCAGCTGCAGAGCATATGGGTGTGTCTCGTATATCCCTGTGCAGTCCTTACTATAAGAGAAGTTACTTGGTTAGCGCATACGCTGCTCCAATCATGCCTTCCGATACGGCAATCCCTGTTCCTCAAATTGTAGTTAACCAACCGTGCTTGCCTCCGATTGTTGTAAACCAGCCAGGAAGGCCCAAGAAAATTAGGATTAAATCATCTTTGGAAGTTGCCATTGGAAACAAACGCCCTAGGAAGCAACATGTATGTTCTCGATGTAAACAAGTTGGGCATAATGCTAAAACTTGTCAGTCGTAGTATTGTTTGTATGAATTCTCTTTTATGTATTTGTTAATGGCGAATTAATCTGAGTAACTCAGCCGTATATCGTTATAATAATTCGGCCAAACCACGAATTCATCTGTGGTACATCAGCCGTGTTGTTGTCATAACTCGGCCAAACCACGAATTCATCTGTGGTACATCAGCCGTGTTGTTGTCATAACTCGGCCAAACCACGAATTGTTATGTGTTAAATTCGTGATTTAATTTAATCTGAAATTAAACAACGTTTATAAGATGTATTTAACTTCTTCTATTCACTCATCTTTTAATGATCATAAAATTATCTCATGTTTGTACCCTAAACCCTAAACCAACACCATCTAAACCCTAAACACACAGAGGCCATACTTAACTTCCATTCCTAGAAAGTCGATCTATATAGAATGTGAATGGGCTGAAAGTGTGAAATTTTTATTGTGATTTAATGTTATAAATCTGGACATTATTAGAACCAGACATAATGTTAATATACAAATGGCCCTCTAAATAAAATGATTTTTCTCATAACTCGGCCGTAAGTAGTAAATACCTCAGCCGTAACGTATTTGAATTATTTTGAATATTTTTTTAATTGTTTTAGTTATTATAATAATTTTTTTTTGTATTATTTTCAATTATTATGTATTAATTTATGACATTAAAACGCGTGTGCGTGTGAATATGTCAGCAATTATTGTTGGCGTTTCCCCAAAAAACACTTTCTGCAATCTCGAGACTGTATATAATAAATTAATATCTGAGTAACTCAGCCGTAAAACGTTATAATAACTCAGCCAGTACTGGTATGTCTCGAACGACGTAGTTTTATTAGTATACATGACTATATTGATTTAGTGAGTTTCCGAACACCTAGAGTCATCAATTAGACATTTATCCCAAATTAAACAATTAGGGTTCTTCGTCTGTCTCCGAATAACGAGAGAAGATGGAAGTAAGCTCTGGATCGACGAGTAGCTTTGGGAGTAATTCTGGAGTTCGGAAACTGTGTGAATGTGGATTGCCGGCAAAGGTCTTCAAATCCAAAACGGATAAAAATCCAAATCGAAGGTTCTTTGGGTGTCAGTACAAGGAAGGTGGTAATGCTCACTGCAAATTCTTTAGGTGGCTCGACGAGGAGGTCATAGGGTGGCCGAAAAGGGCTTTGGCAGAGGCTCAATCTGTAATTAAAGAGAAGACTGAGAAGATTGAAGAACTTAATGCGACAATTTTGGAGCTTCGTGGTGATTTGGAGAGGCAAAACTTGGAGATATCATCAATTAATACAGAAGATGAGAAGATTTCGATTGAGCTTGGATTACAGAAAAGGATTGACGAAATGGAAACAATAGTTTATCGTCAACGCATCGTCATCAGGGGATTGACAGGATTGCTTGTATGTGTCGTATCAGACATTGTCTTTTGTATTGTTAGTGATGTTTGAATTTTATTTGGCTTGTTAGTAATGCTTTTTGTTAGTGTTGTTTGAATTTTGCCAAATGACCAATAATAACTCAGCCGAGTAAACGTAAATAACTCAGCCGTTAAATGTATATTAACTCAGCCGTTAAATGTATAAAAACTCAGCCGTGACATCAAAAATTACTCATAAGTCCGCCGTGTCGCTGGAATAACTCGGCTAAACCACGAATTCATCTGTGTTAAGTCAGCCATATCGCTAGAATAACTTGACATAAATTCAGTAACATAGATTCATTAACATATAAATAACATAGATTCAAAAAAAAAAAAAAACAAATAGAATGGATATCTCCATTCTTAGTCTGATTCCGACCCCGACAACTCGGTCGGCTTAAACTCCAGTTTGTCCCAGTTGATCCCCGTCACGTTGAATGCCACCTTCTCCTCGTAAGCCTTCCTTGCCTGCTCCTTCACGATCTGGAACTCCTCCTCCACGTTAAATCCGTCCTTCAAACTCATCATCTTCCTTAGGAGATCCAGTTTCGCATTCTCCTCACGCAGCGTGAGATCCAAAGCGTGGGCTTCCTCCGTCTCTTTCATGTTGTCTTTGATGAGAGAGATGATGCCTTCGAAACGTTCTTTCTGCTCTTGCATCTCCACTGCATGCCTCCTGCTGCGGGAACCGTCTTCAACACGCGTCCTCTTGCTGCTAGACCCTGATGCATCCATGATCGACAAGAGGAAAGACAAGAGAGATTATATATATTAGTTGCTAATAATCAAGAAGAGAAAAGACGAGAGAGAATTGTTTTACAAGAGTTATATTTAGAAGAGATATATATAGGGAAAATAAGTATAAGGGTATCTAGGTATAATGATAACTTGAGTGGGTAGTTATTCGAGGTGGGGAGTTATCCGAGGTGGGGAGTTATCCGAGGTGGGGAGTTATACAACATTTGTATAACTCGACAATAATAAACTCCTAATAAACCATAACTCAGCCGTGTTGTTAAACCATAACTCAGCCGTGTTGTTAGATTATCTCCGTAACTCAACCGTAGAACGTAAATATCTCAGCCATTACGTCAGTTATGATTATAGTGAAAATCACGAATTATATCTACGTTAAGTCAGCCATGACACTGTCATAACTCGGCCAAAATGGGTAGTTATTCGAGGTGGGGAGTTATCCGAGGTGGGGAGTTATACAACATTTGTATAACTCAACAATAATAAACTCCTAATAAACCATAACTCAGCCGTGTTGTTAGATTATCTCAAACAACGAATTAATAAACATCAATCCAGACGCATCACACAAACCTAAAGCATTATCAACCCCATACATAATCATCACGAGAACTCAAAAGCATAAATAGTTAGTACAAAAGACAATCACATGTTCGAAATACTAATATTTTACATATCATCATAATGTATCATTGGCCATCAAACGCAGCGAGCAGGTCAGGTGCCTCATCATAGATCTCTGTTGCCATCTTAACCCGTATAGCCTGAATATTTTCATCACAGATGCCAACGAAACTTACACCAAGCGCTAGACATTCGATAAATTTCAACGCGTACACGCCACAGTCTCCAACTTGGATGTTCTGAGGGACCCTCGATTTATTCCTCCTTCTGAATGAAAACTGCTCGAACCTAGGTGGATAGATTTCAGGAGGAATTATTTCATTCATCATCTCAGGAATCATCCTCGTAAACGGCCTACAAGCCTCCAGCACAGATAAATCACTTTCCTTGGTATGATGCCCCACGATGCTATCATAGCAATCAATGTGCCCCCTAATCAGGTCCACGTCCAGCGCCAGCCAGTGATTGCCTCCGATTTGGTGAACTATATACAAGTGATCCACATCTTCTATCCATTTCATATTTGTTTGCTGATCTTTTGGCTCCAAACCGTGTACCAGCCTCTCGTAAGGGGTGCCTTTGAATTTAATCCTCTCGGGTTTTATCTTGAACTGGTCATACTCTTTACACCAATAGCTCACGAACCACGAGTCTATAAACGCAATGCGTTTGGTGTGGAATGGGAAGGGAACTCGCGTGATGAACCTCTTTCTAAGAACCCTCAAATACGCAGCAATATGCTGCACAAAAAAAAAATAAAAAAAAATAACAACTCAGACAAAACATAACAATAACTCAGACATAATGTAGAAAAACATACCAATAATTCAGCCATAATGTTGAAAAACACACTAATAACTCAGCCATTATCTAGAAAATCTCAGCCAAAACACACCAATAACTCAGCCACAACACCAACTCTTACAATAACTCAGCCAAAACACACCAATAACTCAGCCAAAACAAACCAATAACTCGGCCACAACACTTACAATAACTCAGCCATAATGTTATACTTACGTCATCGTAAAGCCATCCATATTTTGGATCTGGCCAGTCCTTTCTTTCGGTGATGAGTATTCTGTAGAAATCAACAGTGTCTGTTGCCCTGCCCAATGGGAGATGCCTAACAGATAAACACAAGTTAATATACATAAATAGTGTAAACAAGCCGTAATTAACAAGGTTAAAAGGTATAGAGGGTCATACTTGAATGGGGCCATCATTTCCTTCAGTTTCTGCAATTTGGCCAGATCAACTGGTGACAGAGGATCATATATTCCAGCTGAAGGCACACAATTCTTCCTCATGCACGTCAGTCCGTTGTCTCCGATATGAGGAAATATCCGTTCAGAGACATTAGAGAGTGGATTCAATGCACTCCCATCCGGAGACAGCTTGACACTCTCCTTCCTTAGAGCGTTGATTCTTTCAATCCTTATATGTTCCTCTTCATCATCTTCAGACTCAGGTAACATGCGTTCGTTACCAGCTAGCAACTGGTCTGTGACATCATATACGTCATTGTCACCTTTAATGCCAGCCTTTTCCAATACTTCCTCATCTTTGTCGGGGACATCAGCAGCCTCTTTCTTCTCATCAAGAGCAGCTCCTCCCTCCACCGGAGCAGTAGCTAGTTTTCGTACCACCTTTTTAACCGTTGTAGAAGAAGGCTTCCTACCTCTTCTACGTCCGACTGCTGCCTGAACTTTGGGGGCCTTATCTTTGGCGGGCTTATCCTTGCCGGTATTCTTCTTTCCCGCTGCGATTTTCTCTGTGTCAATTTTCCTGGAGCGTAATTTCCTAATATTATTAGGTAACGTATCTATAAAATCAATAGCAGATTTGCCATCAATGACATTAGCAAATTCCTTTTCCAGATTCTTACTGACACCAGCAATACCAATGTCCTTCTCAACATCGACAATATCCTTCGCCTGCATAAACGTACCGATAACTCAGCCATAAGATAAAGATAACTCCGCCGTTAGGTGATTAATATAATAATAACTCAGCCATAATGTGATTAAGATAATGATAACCAGCCGTAATATAATGATAACTCAGCCGTAAGGGGATAACTCAGCCATTATGTGATCAAGATAGTGAAAACTCAGCTACTAGGTTATTAAGATAATAATAACTCAGCCGCAATGTATTTATACATATGTCTGGCACTGTTAGCTTACCAGAGGACTAGTAACAGACTGGTTTTGTGGAGGTTTCGCTGGACCTTTTGGTGTTGCTTTTTCTTTTTGATTCAGCAAAAGGTTGACTTGCGTCGGCTTTTCGGGAGGTTCTGTTTGTTTGAAGGCTGAGTTTTCCTCAGCGTTTTCACCAGATTTCCCTACCCCCTGCTCAATTGCATTCAGACGCTCTTTCATCTGTTTCAACTCCTTCTCCATATATTCAAACTTTTCATCCATCCTCGCTTCTACTCTATCTCCAATCACCTTCTCCATATTTGAAGACACTTCTTTGATGCTTGTATCAACGGTGTCAAACCTTGAGTTTAATTGCTTCACCAAATCCACGACTGTTTTAACAGACACATCTTCCAGAACATCGTCCTCCGCACTACCAACCTGGAACACATACACAAAAACGCATAAACAAGCTACCCAAACATCACATCAAATATAAACTCACTACATACCATATCATTTACCTTTTCTTTCTTCTTCTTCTTTTCTGCATCTCCTTCACCAGATTCAACACCCTCACTGTTGATCACATCCTTGACATTGTGGACTTTCTGCCTCTTTGCAGGAGATTCAGAGTCACCCGCTGCATTAGAATTTACATTTTTCTTCTTCTTCTCAGTCTTCTTCACATCCCAATATCCTTTAACAAAATCCTCATGTATATCTCGGATCAAATTATCAAGTGCTGGGTCCTCTTCTTCATCTGGCCACGTATGAAATAGCTCTCTGACATCATCCTTCATAACCAATTTACTCACACGCAGCTATAACATAAGAGATTATAAAACCCATTAGTAAGTTTAAACTGAATCATCAATAATTATAACTCAGCCATCACTAACCAACACTAATATAACTCAGCCAGCGCATAAATCATAACTTAGTCATCAAAAACGATAACTCAGCCATCACAAAATTTAACTCAGCCATTACTAAAACATAACTCAGTCAGTAACTATCAGTCATCAAAAACGATAACTCAGCCATCACAAAATATAACTCAGCCATTACTAAAACATAACTCAGTCAGTAACTATCATAACTCAGTCAGTAACTTTCATAACAGAGCCAAAACCTTACCTCACCATGCGCTTTGATATCTTCAGCAATGGTCAATTCCATTGTTTTACGTGTACAGTTTCCACCCCAACGAAGCAATGGTATCTCATCCTTGTTGACTACTCTCCCATATCGCTCTCCAAAGCATTTGACTGAATCATACGCCAAAGCCTGTAACACGTAAACCATACCATTGACGGTGTACGTCTTTCCAACAGGCCTCAACATCTTTATAGAATTAACCAGGGCTTCAAATGCTGACCGACCCCATGGATAAGTGTTCATGGCTTCCTCATCAAAAACTATTTTCGCACTTTCAAATGGTATTCTAGAGTTATGATGCAAGCCATACAGTCCAATGGCTTGAAGAGTCAACAGCCCCAACCACTTACGCTTTTCAGGAGTCCATGTCCTGCACACTAGTAATCCTGCCCTCAGTTCATCTAACTTTGGACCTTCACCACCAGGCACATTCAATTCACTGAAGAACGCTTTGTAGTCAGCTTTAGGTTCAAACTTTTATGTAGGGATTGAACCTGTGTTTAACCCCGTGATATGACCAAATTCGTTCAAGCCAAACCTGATAGGTTGACCACCAACTAGAAACCAAATCTCCTTCTTGTGTATTCTTAACTGTCTACACAGTAGAAAATGTACAGTCTTACCAGACCACACGAATTGGCTTTCAGCTAGCTTAGCAATATTCCAATAGGTGACCCCTTCAGTTCATTCCACGCATCTTGTCCTATTGATTCTATAATCACAGGGACATCTCCCATCTTGATATTGTGATTTAACAATTTATTCTCCAGAATAGACTCCCCTTCTGCGTAAAGTCTTGGAGGGTAATCCCTTGGTTGTTCTTCAGAAATAACCTTAGCCATCTGATAAACCATAAATCAGCCGTAAGCATACAGTAACTCAGTCACAACATAAAACAAACTCAGCCACAGTTGAGCAGATAAACCATAACTCAGTCGTAAGCATAGAGTAACTCAGCCACAACGTAAAACAAACTCAGCCACACCATAAAACAAACTCAGCCATAGATGCATTGATAAATCATAAATCAGTCTAAAGCAAACAATAACTCAGCCATGGAATCGAATAGATATAACAAATTAGCCACCATATGAAAATCAACGTTGGCGAAAATCAGCTGTAATAAGCGTCGATAAAAACCCTCAATTTCTTCGCGATAGTTTTCGGAAAACGGTTTCAATCACGGAAATCACTCGCTATTGAACTTAGATGCGGGAAAAATGTCGGAAAATCCAAAATAAAGATTCGACACATACCTTAAACAAGTTGAGTTGAGACGAAATGGTCCCGACTTGAGGTGAGGCGACGAAGTAAAAGGTCCCGACTTGAGTAGAGACGAAATGCGACAGAGAGAACGAGAGAGTTAAGAGTTTCGGCCGGAATTAGGGTTTCTTAGTCTTAGTCGGAATCGCGTTTCCGTCGGAGAAAGAAAAAGTTTTTTACAGTTTTTTTTTTTCGGAGATGAACAGTGACAGAGAGGGAAATCGAAAGGGTTCTCTTAATGACGTTAATGACGTGGCTTTAATTTGTTTTTCTTTTAATGACGTGGATTAACATAATTTTCGTTAATCATTTCTTAATTAAAAATGGATTTAAAAAAAAAAACTAATCAAGGGTGTTAATTGTAATTACACAAAGACGCTAAACATATGAGTAATTTTTAAAAAATGTATGATATTCTAGTAATATTCGAACTTTTGGTTAACATCTGAGTAAATATTTCTTTCTTTTATGACTAACATTCATCCTTCTAAGATCTAATTTGTTCTGCAATTACCAAATCTTCCACCAAGCAATAAGTTTAAAGCAAGCCATCTATCAAGAAGCTCCATAACGCATATGATTAGCTATATTTTTAACGTTCAATCAATTTCACAGAACCTGAACTGCAAAATAAGTGGAAAATAACTAGATTTGCCTTCAGCGGAATCAACAAAAGAAGAGTCAGACTTCAGGCCAATAGAAGAATATAGAAGCACTACAAAGCAATCACAAGGAATGTCAAACCATAGTATGCTGATAACGCATAAGACGGGTGAAGTTATAAACACCATTCCAAATAACTGCCCCTTGCTTGTGAAGTGTACCTTGAGGAGACCCTGCACATAACTCTCTGTCCAATACTACATAGAAATAAAATATCACTAATTAATATGATGGTGACAATGCATATAACATTGCTCTAAAGTTTTAAGTAACAAATATGGGATTTACAGAGGAAGATGTAACTGTCTTACAAGATTCTTATCAACAGGTTCAGACTTCTTTGGCCTAGCATCATTCGATAAAACTTTAGTATAAGGCCAGAACAGATGACTAAGTGATCCCTGGCCCTTCACAAGTAAGCCAATTTTGCAAATTCTCCTGAAAACGCACATCATAAGTAACAAGAACAAGAGATATGTTGCTGACAAACTCATAAATTCACTGAATCAACCAGAGAATAGCCAAAAGAAAGAATTGATTGTACATAGACAGTGGAGTTTATTGAAAGACAATTTTTTTCAAGATTCATTAACCTGTAAAAATCATCGAACATGTTTACGACGATGATATGAGACATGTCCATTTACTTGGAAAGGAGACCCACCAATTATATTTTTGAGCTTCCTGAAAAGAACAAGATATTGAGAAAAACTCTTAGCAAACGTAAAAACCAAAAAAAAAAAACCAAAGTCAACATAGAAAGGACAAGAAAACAGAGAAAAATAAAGTGTTGAAACATATGTGGCTTATTATATTCTTACTTAAGTAAAGTAGATCTAACTAATTAACATAGATGAGAAGAAACATCTTGAGGGGTATTGAACTGAATAAAGCTGCGAGTTAATAAATAGCATGATGGGTATCGAACTGAATAGCCCAATGTCATTTATGGTATCAGGATAATTGGGCATTGAAGTTTTTTTTTTCTTCTAGATTACGTCAAAATGATGATATAAGTATGTTGAAAATTACAAGCAGGACCAAGATAGGAGAATACAATCAACCAGGAAAAAAATGAACAATCAATCAATTGACAAAACTATATTCCTAATGAAAGATACCAAAGAAAATAATATAAGAGAGAAATTATATACCTAGATCAGTATCTTCATATAATGGTGTAGACATAATGGTTGGAGTTGCTGTTGAATCAATATAATCTTTTGGAAATCAGTTCTGATCATCCTCTAAGGATCAGACTCTCCATTGATGTTACCCCCTTTGTGACTAGGAAATTATGCT